TTTCTTTTTTTTTTTTTTTTTTTTTGATACAGGGTTTCTGTGTAACAGTCCTAGCTGTCCTGGAACTAGTTGTAGTCCAGGCTGGCCTCAAACCCACAGAGATCCGCTTGCCTCTGCCTCCTGAGTGAGTGAATGCCGGGATTAAAGTTGTGTGCCACCACCACCCTGCTAACTCTCCTGTTCTTAAGCAACTGTTTGGGAATATGCCGCAGGGGAGAAAGTGCTGGGGTGTTAGAGAGCATGGGGTGGGGAGAGAGAACTATCACGTATGTTGTTAAACATGGCTGCCTTCATGGGCTCACAACCCGTTCCGGCTCAGGAAGATTCTATGTTTGTTTTACTGTCTTGATGTTACTGTCGTAATAGTCTCAAAACAAGGTGCCCTTCTATTTTTTTTTCTTGTTTCCTTTGTTTTCATGTGTGTGTGTGTGTATACATGTTTATGTTTGTATGTCCTCATGTATTGGAGTGCTTGTACACATACATGTGTGCCTGGGTGTGTATGGAGGCCAGAAGTTGACACTGAATATCTTTCTCTTCCCCATACTTTAGGGAACAAAATCTCTAACTGAACATGGAGCTCATCCATCAGTGACTGGCAGGCCAGAAAACTCTGGGGGCCCTCCTGTATCTACTGCTCTCCCAACATTGGGGTACAGTGGTACAGCACTATACCCAGGTTTTACATGGGTGCTAGGGATCATAACGCAGGCCCCCTCATTTGTGTAGCAAGCGATTTACCCCCTGAGCCATCTGAGATCTCACTTCCTTTGGTATTTCTACTGACCCTGCAAAGGACTTACCTAGTCCTATCCCTAGGGGTCGACTGTTCTTAAGTACAGGAAGCATGGAGCTAATCAGAAGTCATGGTGATGGACTGTTCCAGAGGTGTCTCAGTTCACCTGTTCTAGAATACAGGGTTACAGAAGTCCCCTTGCTGTATAATCCAGATTGCCAAGAACGAAGACAGAATACGAAATTGCAGTCTGGTAGTCAGGGCTTAGGACTGTGAGAAGGTGAAGACTAGTAGAAATCAGAAGAGAGGCCTGAATGCTCCTGAGTCTCAGCCCAGTCGCAAGTTCATATCCTCAAGTCTCCTTTCCAAAAATTGTATCACACACACACACTCACACACACACAAACACACACACACACACGTACATGCACACATGTGGAAGCTCTTGCATGCCAATTCCATGAGAGCTAAAGAACAGACCTCTTCCTGAGCTTGCTGAAACACTTCTCTGTGTAAAGGAGCACACGACTGAGGCCATTCCTTTGCTCCCTTTCCAGATGATGTGACAACAGAGTTTGAGCAGGGACGCCGAAGGGCAGACGTGTGACACGGTTTCCCTTTATCCAATGATGTGAGCAGGAAGAACGATGGGCACAGCTGCACACTCCAGCCCAGACAAGTGCTTGTCCTCTGTGCTCCAGAGCAGAGCTTTTCACCTTTTTTCCTGTTGATTTATGTACTTAATTTTTTTATACAATCTATTTTGATCGTGTTTTTCTCCTCTCCCGCCTCCTCCCAGAGCCTCCTCACCTCCCTACCCACGCAACTTCCTCTTAAAAAAAAAAAAGCAACCCCTCCCATCTCTGCAAAACTACAGAACCAAAAGTCAAAACAACTAAAAGACTAATAAAATATTTTTTTAAATGTGAAACTAAACAAAAATACCACACACACACACACACACACACACACACACACAGAGTTCATTTTGTGTTGGCCACCACTCCCGG